AGAACTCAAAAAATTAGACAATAAGATAACAAATAACCCAATCAATAAATGGGCAAAGGACCTGAACAGACACTTCTCAGAGGAGGACATACAATCAATCAATAAGTACATGAAAAAATGGTTCAGCATTTTTAGAGGATGGGGTATGGAAGAAATAAAAGATGTGGATTCTATTTTCATAGTGCTTACAATTTAGGAGCCAAAAACAGTTACAGGGAACAACACTTTCAACCCCTAACATATACATTTAATAAAATTTAGCATTTTATAATATTGTTATGATTGAAACCTTTTTTATATTATTGTGGTGAAAACACTTAACATCAGAGCTACCTTATAAACAAATTTAAGTATAGAATACTATGTTGTTAGCTATATGTACAATGTTGTACAGCAGATCTCTAGAACCTTGAATCAGAGAGCATAAATAAAATTTTATTCTGAATAGCACTTCCTATTTTGCCCTTCCTCCCAGTCCCTGATACCCTGCTTCTATGACTTTAACTATTTTAAATACCTTGTCAGTAAAATCTTTAAATATTGTTCTGTGACTGGTTTATTACTCTTAGCATAATATACTCCATGTTCATCCATGTTATCACATATGGTAGAACTTCCTCCTTTTTAAGACTGAATAATATTTAATTATATGTATACACTACATTTTCTTTACCCACTCATCAATCAATGGATACTAAGGTTGTTTCCACATCTTGACTATTGTGAATACTGTTACAAAGAACATGATATTGCAAATTTTTCTTCAGATCTTGATTTCAATTTTCTTGGATAAGTACCAAGGATGTTTTGGATAAATACCCTGGATAAAAATCCAGGATTGCTGGATCATATGGTGTTTTATTTGTAATTTTTTAAGGAGTCTTCCTATTTCCCCTAAAGACTACACCATCTTTCATTCCCACCAACAGTGTAGTGTTACAATTCTGCTACATCCTTACCAACACTCATTATCATCTTTTTATAGTAGTCATTATAACAGGTATGATCTGATAGCTCATCATGGTTTAATTTTCACTTCCCTGATGTTGAATATCTTTTCATGTACTTGGCCATAAGTACATTTTCTTTGATAATATGTCTATGCACGACTTCTACCAATTTTTTTAATCAAGTTATTTGGTTTTTTGCTTTTGAGTTTAAGGAGTTTCTTTTATGTTTTAGATACTATTCCCTTCTCAGATATATGATTTACAAATATTTTCTCCACTTCCATAGGTTGCCACTTCATGATGTTGTATCATTTTTGTGCAGGAAATTTTGTTTGATGTAGGCACATTTGTCTAAGTTTCATTTTGTTGCTTATACTTTCTGTAGTGTAACAAAGAAATCATTGCCAAAATCAATGTCATAGAGATTTTACCCTATGTTTTATTCTATAAATAATACAGTTTCAGGTATTAGATGTAAGTCTGCAGTACATTTTGAGTTGATTTTTGTGTACAGTTTAAGATAAGGATATAATACCATTCTTTTGTATATGGCCATCCAGTTTTCCAACAGTCTGCTGAAAAAAGAAATTAGGAAGGGCTGGGGTCATATCTCAGTGGTAGAGCACTTGCCTCACATGTGTGAGGCACTGGGTTCAGTCCTCAGCAC